GAGAGGTAGGAGGAGAACCACCGTAAAACGGTGCCTCCCACCCCCACCTCTCGCAACCGTCGCAGAAGGATACCATGGTCGAAGGCCGCTGAGAGGTCAAGAAGCACAAGGATAGAGGTGCACAAGGATTTTGGTGACGGTCACAAATAATAAAATGCAAATCATCATCTTATTCTTTTAACAACCCTGTAAACCCCTTGTGGGGTGAAGTCTGAGCAAGCAGAGTGTTTTAATGGCCGGATGCCCTTCTTGTTGCCAATGCAGAACTTTTTTTCAGCCGATATACCGTATAAGACGCTCTGAAGTAGAAGACACTCCTAACTTTTGGGGAGGAAAACAAGGAGGGGAAAATCTGATTCGCTTAACAAGGGTAGCAAGGAAAGCTCATAAAATTGGAAAATTGACCTAACAGCTGCCTGGCTGAGTGACAGAAATTTTGGGCTCGATTGCGGCCATAAGTCGAGGACTACCTCTACCTGATCCAGGTGAAAACTTACACTGCTGCTTCGGAAGAAGAACGGGATCAGTGGGGTTTGGGACTTGATACCTGGTTATGAAAAAGAGAGAAAATTGAGATGCCAAAGGATTCTGGATCTGTTTAGAGCTATTGCATCTTTAATTAATCACTTCCTGTTCCATGCTTGCTAATGGAATTAACACCACCTTTCCCCGGATTAGCAGTAGAAGGCTCAGAGTTCAACTGCAAGACATTTTTTTTCTCATTTCTTTTTATAAAAAGTTTTACTATTTTTCTATTACAAAAATAAACATTCCATCTTTCCTTAGGCAGTGCGTCGCCTGGGTACAAACACCTCTGTGCAACACCATTCCTCTTTTGCCACATCTTTCACATTTATATTAACATTCTTTCCCTAAACTTATTATGATTATAATATCTTAAACATTTAAACTTTATAAAACTCTGCATTTTTCTTCTTAGTATCGTCTAGTGGTAATTGTACGGAGTTAGATGCGATGTAGCCATAACAACTTTCTTTCTAGAAAGCCAAGGTCATCCTTTGTCTTTGGACCTCTGCCGGAACTGGATGGGTGGAAGCTGCCAGCGTGGCAGTGGGAGATGGGACCATGGGATGGACTTGTGGGTATGGGGGCAAAAGATCGTGAACTTTTAAGTGGGTGGGGAAAACCGGGAAGCTTTCAGATTCGGGGTTTCCCAGNGGGGGGCTCTTTTCTTCTTCCCTTCAGTCACCTCCCAGGCGGCCAGCAGAGGTTTCCTTGGCCAGGCTCTGCAGAGGTGATTCGCCATTGCCTCCTTCCTGGGGCCGAGAGGGAGGGACTGGCCCAAGGCCCCCCAGGTGGCTTTGTGGATAGGGCGGGACTAGAGCTCACCGCCTCCCGATGTCTCACCCCCCCCCTTCCCCACTGCTTCTCCCTCCCCTGCTTTAGCCCAGCACTGATCTGGCATTGGTAAGCCTTCGTCACGCGCAGGGGGAGGGGGGGGGCTCAAAGTTTGGGCCACATCACTGTCCCCTGACATCCCCACTGTGGGACCCACCACGTGCCCACAGCGGAAGGAGCAGATCCCCTCTGCGGAGGAGCGCAACATCCAAGAGGCTCTCTGGGTCCTTTCATTCTGGCCCCCTTCCTGATGCCTGCTCTCCCCCCATGGCCTGCCACTCTGAGAGGGGGACGATGGCTGCCTCCACGCCAGGAAGGGAGGTTTTCCTCCTGTTGCTCACTGGCTGCGGCCCAGAGGAGGGAGCGGAAGGGAGCGGGCACCTGTGGTGAGCGCATAGCTCTTCTTCAGGGCTTCGTTCTCCTGCTTCCAGTGGGCGATTTGCAGGTCGCGCTCCGAGAGGGAGTGGTACAAGACTTCGCTGGTGTTTCTCTGCATGCCGGTCACCTGGGAAGGAGGACACGGGAGCAGGAAGAGGGAGGTCAACGGCTCCCGTCCCTTGGAAGGAGGCACTTGCATTGCCCGCACGCCACCAAGGCACGTTTCGGATGTGCAAAGGAGACACACGCGCACACGCAGAGTAGCGCCAGCCCACCTGCTCCTTCAGCCTCCTGATCTCTTCGGCCTTGGCTTCGGACTCTTTGTCCAGGCTGGCCAGCTTCTGATGGAACTCGGTATCCTTCTTGGCCAGGGTTGCCACCACCTTCTCGTTCATGGCCGAAATCTCACGCTGGAGCTCCGCGATCAGCGTGTCCTTGTGGCTGCACTCGCTTTCGAAGGCGGACAAGCGGTTGATCTCCTCCCCCAGTTTCAAAATGGTCTCTTCCTGCACAAGGAACCACGTGAGTCAACCAGCAAGAGAGGAAAAGGGCTGCTTGGAAGGTTCTTCCCTCTCCTCCCATGGGAACTTTCCGGCTAAACCCCTCTGCCCATCTAACAGCGGTCAAGGCTGCTCTTCCCTTATGGCAGCGGGAGCCTTAGGGGAAGAAACTCCTGTGCGGCACCAATGGCCGCGGGGGCCCTGAGAGATCATCCAGCCCGATCGCTCCATCTTTGGTGCGGAGAGCCTTCCCCAAAGGCCCGGCCTGAGCAGGGAGGAAAGGCTGTTCCTGGCCACACACCCTCCCCCTCTGGGAAGGTTCTGCCCAGGCCCCTTTTGCTGACCCCCTGCTCTCCCTCCTCCCTCGCCTGCTCTCCTCTCTCCTGAATGACGTATGCTGCTTTCCCCTCCCACTGACGCTCTTCCTTGCGGTGGGTCCCCACAAACAGCTTTGGGAAGGCGTCCCTTTCTCCCTCTCTGACCTCAAGTTCTTGCCTGGGCTAAAACTTCCCTTTTCAAGCCCATCAATCTTTTCTGTGGTCTGGATTCCTGGGCAAGATTTCTATTTTCTTTTAATGGAAATATTTGAGGCTGATGGGTCTCCAAAGGCTTCCCACAACCCAGCTCTGATGCTGAGAGTTGGGGCCTTGCCTGGGGTGGGGCCTCCGGGCTCTCTGGCAGTCCTGGCCCTGGGGAAGGGCGTAGAAGGGCCTCCCTCACCTTCTCTTTGAGCAGCACATCCCCCGGGTGGCTGCTGGCGAGAGGGCCAGGGAGGGCTCCGTTGCCTGGAAGAGAACAGAAGTGGGCAGCCCATTGATAGAGTCACAGGGCCTCTCTTCCCCCCCCCCACTCCTCTCCCCACACTCATCGTGAACAACTGGAGGGAAGGGAAGCTCCAAACTCCAGGCCCGGTGACCGCTTTCTGGACAGGCTGCCCTGCTCAGTCCCACCATACCTGTGAGGGTGGCTGGAGACCAGCTGGAAAGCTCGGGAGAGAAGGCAGAGGAAGAGACGGTCCTGCCCCAGGCGCTTCCAGGAGGCCTTTTTCGGAGGGGGGGGCGTGGTGAGGCCCCGCTTGCTGAATAGGGCCAGCTGGGGCTGGCGGGTGAGGACTGCTGAGTGGGCAGCCACGGAAACTGAGGAGCAGCAGCTGCCGAAGGAGGGGAGGCTGCCTCTGTAACCACCTGGATTTGGCCCGGCCAGGCAATGCGCCGATTCACTGGAGGATAAGGCACCTGCTGGACGACACGGGAGGAATCTTGTCTGCTGCCAGAGCCTTTTCCCCCCCGGGGGGGAGGGGGGCGAGAGACGCCGTGAACCTCAGCTGGCTCACCTCTTGCTCTGAGGGGATTTGAGCCGATTACATACAACGCCCACAACCCCCCTCCAAGGGAGATGGTCAGTTAAAAAGTATGGAATATAATGAACAGATGGCCTTCATCCCATTGGACGAGTGGGGAGGTCACGGGGGGAGTTGACCCCATGGGGAGGGGAGGGCAGTGGCTATCATAGCAGGGCAAGAGTGCCGAGGCTGCCAATGGGGCCCAGGGACCTTACCCACGCAAGGGCCCCCAGGTGTGATTGACCCCCTCCTCTCTGCCTTCACAAACCCTGGACCACAAGAGGCCAGAGGCCAACGGTTGGAAGAAGCCTGGGGGCACCGAAGGAACATTTCAAGGGCAGAAGCAGGGCCTTCTTCCACCCAATTGGGCTCAGGAACAGGGACTTCAGCTCCCATAAGCCCCGGAAATCGCCATGCCAGCCGTGGTGTGCATGATCGTGATCCCTTGCGTGGGCCAAGCCGTTTCCTTTTGGCGGAAACTTCGGCACCTTCTTTACCTGTGGCAGGTGGTCCAGCACCAGCTCGAAGGTGGGCCCAGTGGAGCCAAAGCGCAGGAGGTCTCCCTGGCCCACCTTCACGGCCACGTTCTGGATCTGGCAGTCGTTCACAAAGGAGCCACTGCCGGTGTTGAAGTCCCGAAGAACGAAGCTGTGCTCGGCGTCGCTGAATTCGAGGGCGGCGTGGTGGTCTTCCAGCCCTGGAGACTGAAGTGGGGAGGGGGACTTTTAATCTAACTGCATCCGAAGTGCAAACGAAAGGCAAGACCACCCCGAGGAAGGCGGGGAACTTTTTCCTTTTCATCACTAAGAAGATTTGGGCTGCTTCTCACACACATCCAAGTCAGCGGATGCCACATTCCGATGCCCGAAACCAAAAATCTGACTGGTGTAAAATCTCCCTTCCACCACGAGGCAGCAGAGAGGCAAAAATTAGTATACCAGCACTGGCTTTGGAAGGGGGAGGGGGGGCTCTGGATGGTTTAGCAGATTTGACGTCTGTCATTGGCTTCCACTTTCTTAGGCGGGTTGGAGAACTCACTGGAGCCAGCAAGCGCCTGCCAAGGGACCTTGGACCAAGACTGGGCTTCTACGTTCAGAGCCCTTCCCTTGCTCAACACGAAGCATCTCCTTGGACACTTAGACGTTTGAACAGATTCGAGGGAGGGGGAGAGATGGGATGGGGGGGTGGCAGGAAGCCTCCGTGACCCCACCCAAGGGACGAAGGCCCCCCAGGGAACCTTTCCGCTGTCGCCTTTACCTTAAGAACGATGTCTGACTCATCATGCCTTCCTATCGTCGTTATCTTTGGCCTGAGCGCCAAGATGCCATCCGAGCTCCTTAGGAAGGCCTTCATGCTCTCTGCCGGACACGACGGACGGGGTGAGAAAGCACAGGGGGGGTGTTGGAGAGACGACACAAGTGTGAGGAAACTGCACAACAGGTTCCGGGGCTGCCAACAGCCAAGCAGGCAGCTCCTCTGACGGGGCCTCTCAAAGGAGGAACCAGGAGGGGCCCTTCTCACTCCTTCTGCGCCCCACAGCTTCACTTACGTGGGGAAAGGCCCATCAGGCCCCCTCGTCGGCCCCCTTCCCCCAGGGGTCTTTGGCCCCCTCTGCAATTCTCGGGCTGGGAGGGAGGGAGGGAGGCCCTGCCAGCGTTACCCGGGGGGGGGGGAGACAGAGGGCCGGGCCCCTTGGCTGCAAAAGGGGCGAAAAAGGGGCTTGGGGGGGGGGCGGTTTCCCTGAAACAACCAACTTTTTATTCCTAGCCTTTAAATCAGTTCTTCAGGGGCTTCAGCGCCCCCCCCCCCAAAACCCTCCGCGCTGACCGGGGAGTCTCAGCCCTTGGGGGGGGGCTCCAGGATGCCATATGGGGCCACATGGAAATATTGGGGGGGGGGGCGAAATCCCCCCCACCGCAGTTCCCCAGTGCGGGGGGGGGGGGCTTCTTGGGGAACCCAGAGGCGGAGCTCGCCCTCCGGGGCCTGGCAGGCCCATCCCTGCGCCCCGAGTGACCCGGCTCTGCCCCTTCCCTCCCTGGGGCGTCCAGAGCCGCTTTCAAAAGCAGCCCTCCCCTCTCGCCCCCCCCCCATCCCGGGTGTGCGGCCGAGGGCGCTCTGCACACGCTCAGAGACACGAGGCGAAACTCACCGGGGGCTCCTCGAGCGAAGCCGGCGCGGCCCCGCTGAGGCGCCGACCCGACTCCCGCCAAGCGGAGCCGTGGCCATGGCAACCGGACCCTAGGCCACGCCCTTCCGCCGGAACGAGCGTCTCCGCGGCAACTGGTTTCGGGCGGCGCCGTTCCCATGGAAACCGAGGGGACCCGCATGGCACACGCGCAAATGCCGCGCCTATAGGGAAGCGGACTCCGACTCCCAGAATTCCCCCAGCCGCCAGGCCTCCGCCGTGAACGCTGGGAGTCGGAGTCCGTCCGTTTTAAAGGGCTCGGATTAAGAAACCCTGCGTGAAACTGCAGTAGGCGGGTTTCCACGGTGCGTCACCCACGCTTTTCCCAGCGACGATGCCCTGTTTCCCCAGCAGCCCCAGCTCTGCCCTGGGGCCCCTTTTGACCAGGGATGACTCCCCCCCCCCCACCAGGGTCTTGGGCCCCATCCTTTCCCCAGTGGGGGGCGATGGATTTCACCCCCCAAGCAGCGTGACCCTTTTGGGGAGGCCCCCTTGGAACACAGCCAGCAATCCCAGGGGGGTGCAAACCCCAGAACCCCCCCACGCCAGTGAACAAAAGGTATAAACAGCCTCCTGGATAAAAGCCCGTTTATTCTCATTTTAAAAGGGGTTCCCCCCTTCTTTCCAGTTAAAAAAAAAGGTTTCACCCTTTTGGAAAAAAGAAGTTTTGCGTTTCCAGTTCAGCCACTGCAAACCCCCCCCCACCCCCACCCCCCGAGGGAGCGGCAGGAGAGGCCCAGAGAGCCCACTCCCCAAAGGAAGGCCTCTCTGGGGCCTGCAGCAGATCCCAGTGGGCTTCAGCAGTTCTCTTTGGGCTTCGCGATGTTTGGTTTCAAGGCACCAGAGCTTCCTCCCTGTCCCTGGAAATCCCCGCTTGGTGGGAAAGGAGGCCGGATCTGAAACTCGCGTGGCTGGAAAAATTTAAGGACTAGCCTGGCAGGCAAGCTGGAGTGCTAGTTTGGAGGGGTGTGCATTATTACCAGAGATATATAAAAATGACATAATTTAGAAAAAACACACACACACACACAGAGACACTATAACCCCAAGAGTTCGTATTGCTAAGACGGCATCAAAACCTCCCCCCCCCCCCCCCCCCCCCCCCCCCCCCCCCCCC